TCACCTCCTTCCTTCCTTCCTTCCTTCCTTCCTTCCTTCCTTCCTTCCTTTCTCCCATTCTTTCTCCCTTTCTTTCATTCTTTCATTCCTTCTCCCTTCCTTCCTCCCTTCCTACCTTTCTGTCTTAATATCTGTCTCCCCCTCCCTCTCTGTCTCCCCCCTCTTTCTCTCTCTCTCTCTCACTCACTTCCTCCCTCTCTTCCTTCCACCCACCCTTCCTTCCTTTCTAGGGCCCCTTGTCTTTCACCACAACGGGCTTTGCTCCCTAGTACATAATAATCCAAGGAATGTGAGAGATAAAGAGAGAACATGCCCTTCCAGAATAAGGAAGCGGCTTTGAGTATCTTTCTCATCTCAGTCTCTCTCTAGAGGTTCGCCACCAATCTCTTCATTGAGCACAATGGGAATGATAATAATACAGATCCACGCAATATCTCTCTATTGTCAGCCATCCCAAAGCTGGAGTGGGGCTTCCTGTGTGAAGGAGGGGCAGCTGAGGGGGGATATGCAGGCAGCCGCTCTCACTCCATGCCCCCCCCCACTCAGCTGCTCCAGCTGTTTTTCTGTGACAGGTTCCCGGAAGTATTCCAAACTGTTAGAATCTGCTACAGCTCTTGACTAGTGCCACTATTTGTTTATTTCTTATGTTTAAAATGTTTCTATGCTGTGTTTCCACCCGATCAGAGTCCCAAGGGCCCCAAACAGGAAAACATTAAAAGAGTCGAACAATTAAAAACATTTAAAATGATAAAAGAATTCAATAAAAACACATGATCCTAATTGGAGCTCAGCTTCTGAAAAAAACTAATAACTTGTTAATGAGTTGCTAACTTCTTGCAGCTTGCTAGGTCTGATGCAAATGTAACCTGCAAGGAATACTGGCAACAACTTTTATTTGTTGCTTTTTAAAAAAAGTTTTGGGGCACCATCGCTGTTCAGCTTACTGTTGAGCATGCTCAATGTTTGGGGGGGAAATTGGCAATAATATATAATCTTTCTGCATTTCATCCCATCTCTTCTAAACAGCATGCAAGAAGGAAACGCTGCATAGCAACCATGGGTGTATCCAACCAGCAGCACAACAGCAGATCTATTAGAGCAATGCTCTGGAGGGAGGGAGCGCCTCTGTGCGCGTCAACAAAATCTAACTTCAGCCCTGAAGGCATGCAGTGAGGGTCATTACCAATGTTCCCTCTAAGTTCCACAGTGTTGTGAGCAAAAATTCTACCTTGTGAGTGGAAAAGCTAGTAGCATTAAAATTGTGAGCGAGTCTATATTTGACTTTTGCATAAATTAGTTTTTAGATTATTATTTCCATGACCTTGTAAAATATCAGAATGAATTTTTAAAACTATATTTAAACTATATTTTAAGAATAATGTAAACAATGTAAGAGAAAACAGAATTAAGTCAAATTTCATTACAGAAAATGTCCTGTACGGGGGTAGACCAGGCCTCCGGAGAACAGGTCTTCTTGCCCCTTTCCACTGTATTGGCAGATCTGGCCTCAGACCATCATCCTGGGCTGAGGTCACTGTGCTGAGCCTTAGAAAAACATACCAACACTTGGGGGGGGGGACTCTTGCAGTCTACTTTTGTGTGTGAAATATGACAACCAGCATTACAGGTCAAGTGTAACAGAGGTGGAACAGTCGCTGTCAGAACCTTGCTGAACCTAACAAACAGGAAGTCGCTTAAATGTTATCAACCTGGCCAAATTATTTATTAAAATATTTATATTCCACTTTCCCCTGTGACTCCAGGCAGCTTACAGATAATACTGAAAAACATAATAGGGATGTGCAAAAAAAATTTTGATTCCCCCCCCCGCTCCATTATAGCCTATGTGGGGTCCATAGGCTCTAATGAAGAATTGATGTGGGGACATCTGGGGCTCTAGAGGAGGCTGTTTTTTGAAGTAGAGGCACTCAATTTGCAGCATAGTTGCTGGTGCCTCTCCTCAAATCCCTCCCTCTAAGTTTCAAAAAGATTGGACTAGGGGGTCCAATTCTGTGGGCCCCAGATGGAGGGGGAAATGCCCTTTCAGTTCACTTGTGAGCTGATGCAAAAATCCCTTTGCTGGCACCTAAAATTTTGTGTGCCAGCCCCCCCTAGTGCAACTTAGAGGGAACTCTGGCAATAGAGGAGGGATACTAAGTGAAAATGACAAATGTTTGATGGATTTTAGTTACACAGGTCAGGCAAACTAAACTGCGTTTGGAATAGTAGATTGGAATAGTGATTGTGATTTTGTTGTTCAGTCGCACAGTCGAGTCCGACTCTTCGCGACCCCATGGACCAAATCACGCGAGGCCTTCCGGTCTTCCGCCGTCCTCTGAAGTGTGCTCAACTTCATGTTCGTTGCATCTATGACACTGTCTAACCATCTCATTCTTTGCCATCCCTGTCTTCTTTGACCTTCAATATTTCCCAGCATCAGGGTCTTCTTCTCCAGCAAGTGCTCCCTTCTCATTGGGTGGCCAAAGTATTTGAGCTTCAGTTTCATTATCTGGCCTTCCAGGGAACAGTCAGGGTGGATTTCTTTTAGGACTGACCGATTTTGTCTCCTTGCAGTCCAAGGGGCTCTCAGGAGTCTTCTCCAGCACCATCGTTCGAAAGCATCTATTCTTTGGCGCTCGGCCTTCCTTATAGTCCAACTCTCGCAGCCATACACGACTACTGGGAATGCCATTGCTTTGACCATACGAACTTTTGTTGGCAGGGTGATGTCTCTACTTTTTATCATGCTGTTTAGGTTCTTAGTTTTTTTGATGTTGAGCTTCAAGCCCACTTTTGCGCTCTCCTCTTTTACTCTGAGCAAGAGGTTCTTTAGATCCTCTTCACTTTCAGCCATTAGAGTGGTATCATCTGCATATCTGAGGTTGTTGATCTTTTCCCCAGCAATCTTAATTCCCGCTTGTGATTCATCCAGGCCAGCATTTCGCATGATGTACTCTGCATATATATTAAATAAGCAAGGTGACAGTATACATCCTTGTCGTACTCCTTTTCCTATGCTGAACCAATCAGTTGTTCCGTATCCGGTTCTAACTGTCGCTTCTTGGCCCTTATACAGGTTTCTCAAGAGACATGTGAGGTGGTCTGGTACTCCCATCTCTTTAAGGACCTGCCATAGTTTGTTGTGATCCACACAGTCAAAGGCTTTAGCATAGTCAATGAAGCAGAAGTAGATGTTTTTCTGGTACTCTCTTGCTTTCTCCATAATCCAGCGAATGTTGGCAATATGATCTCTCGTTCCTCTACCTCTTCGAAACCCAGCTTGTACTTCTGGCAGTTCTCTATCCATGTACTGTTGAAGCCTAGCTTGTAGGATCTTGAGCATGACCTTGCTAGTGTGTGATATGAGTGCAATTGTGCGATAGTTTGAACATTCCTTGGCGTTGCCCTTCTTTGGGATTGGAATGTATACTGACCTTTTCCAATCCTGTGGCCACTGTTGCGTTTTCCAAATTTGCTGGCAAATTGAGTGCAGCACTTTAACAGCATCATCTTTTAAGACTTTGAATAGCTCAGCTGGGATACCATCACCTCCACTAGCTTTGTTGTTAGTAATGCTTTCTAAGGCCCATTTAACTTCACATTCCAGGATGTCTGGCTCGAGGTCAGTGATTATACCGTCGTGGTTGACAAGGACATTGACTTCCTTGTATAGTTCTTCTGTGTATTCCTGCTATCTTTTCCTAATCTCTTCTGCTTCTGTTAGGTCCCTACCATTTTTGTCCTTTATCATGGCCAGCTTGTGATTTAATGAGTAGTAAATGTAATAGTAGAATGTAATGTAATTTGGACTGTTAGATTGGAGTGTATTTCTCTGGTCTGGTGACAGAGGAGACATAACACTGGACAACCCGTCACCCCACCTTAAAGAAAAGGATGCCGTTAGCTACCTCCATGCTTGAGAGGAGACGAATGGAGTGTAACAGCAGGGTCTCTGTTGATGACTCTCAGCATCCCACAATTAAGGGTACATTTACACATCACTCTCCAATTTTGATAAATTTATTTGCTTCACTATGTCCCCCCCGCCCCCGGAATTAAACCCAGACAAATGGTGATCCTATAAACGAAACCTATTTGGTCCTTGCATCTGTTGAACATCTTCATTATGTTGTATTCTAATTTGCTGCTCATCCTCCACCTCTATGTATGGACTGGCAATTTCCATTTCACTGTATCTGAAGAAGTGTGTGTGTGCACATGAAGCTGATACCTTGAATAAAACTGTCGGTCTTAAAGGTGCTACCTGACGTGAATTTTGCTCTGTTGCTTCAGACCAACATGGCTACCCACCTGAATGAACATATTTCATGGTCATTGTCTTTTCCTGTGATTTCAGGTGACTTCTGTTTTAATAGATGGAGGCAGGCTGTAGTCATTGGGATCAGTACAATTTGGAATCATAATTGTTCTTTAGAATGTCAGATACAATTCTCAAAAGCAAAGGATACAAAGTATTTTTTTTTGAGTTTTGTCTACTCTTTTAAGGAACAATTTAAAGTTTGTGTGGTTTTTGTATTTTTCATTTGTGCGTGTGCGTGTGCATTTCAGCACCTGGAAGTCATGGTGACTTCTGGTGACTGACCCCTAGTGGGGGCCTGGGGGATATTCAAAGAGGTGGCTGAATAAAGCCTGCCCCCACCTCCTGCCTCCTGCCTCTGGTATTCCAAGGAGGTCTCCCCTCCAAGGACTTGCGAGAGTTGGCCCTGCTTCGCTTCCAAGTTCTGATGAGATCGGGCTTGCCTGGGCTACCCGGGTCAGGGCCAGTTTAAAGTTTGCTGACTGTTGAATATTTATTTTATTTTATTTTTTTAATTTTAACTTTCAATTTATATACCGCTCGAACCCCGAAGGGTCTCTGAGCGGTTTACATATGATTTTTAAATTCCTACCTAGGGCCACATTAACTGGGGGGAAGTGTTTGCCTACCAGCACCCAGGCAGCTCTTGTTGGCTCTTTCCAGCGGGCTTCAGGCGTTCTTCATGGCGGTCGACGACGACCACCTGGCGCCTTGGGGCGGATCTTGCTTTCTCTTTTTGGGACGGGTCTTGCTTCCAGCGACTTCCTCTGGTGGGCTTTTATCCTGGGGCGCGGCCACGCGCCAGCCACAGCTCCGGCTATGTCCTTGCTGGCTCCGCCGCGCCACGCCGTCACGCCCCCGCGCCTTCCACGACTCCGACTGCGCCCAGTCTCCGTCGCTCAACGTCACTAGGTCGCCAGGGCTGCTTGCCGATCGCTCCGCCGCTTCGCTCGCCAACCGCTCCGTTGCATACGTGCAGCTTCTCCCATGTTAGTTATGCTAATACTTGATATTGACTGTATTTTTAAAATATCTGACCAATATTCAATGCATTTAGTGATGAAATGTTTTTTCCCCCACAGTGTGACAATGCAAAGGGGCTGAAAGCCTTCTATGATGCAATAAAATACGGACCGACACACCTCATGGTTTTTGGTGGAGTCTGTACAACTGTAACATCCATTATTGCGGAATCGCTAATAGGATGGAATTTGGTCCAGGTAAGGAACAATTATTTATATACTGGATTGGTGAATGCCTTAAAACTGTTCTGCTATTCTTTAGAAAATGAACTTGAAGTTTGCATTATTCTGTAGCATGATCCAGAAATAGAAGGGTTGGATTGATTTCAGTGAGGTTAATTCTAAGTACTGCAAGGTTAATTCTAAGCTCTGTGAGGTTAATTTTAAGTACTGGGTTTTATTGGGTGATTCCTCACTGTACCTGGACTCTCTAGAGGTTATGCATACATAACTTTGTGTGGCAAGAGAGCAAAGGTTGAGTCCAGTGGAACCTTTAAGATCAACAAAGTTTTATTCAAAGTGTGAGCTTCTGTGTGCAATGCACACTCCTTTAGACAAATTGGAATAAAATCTCCTCAAGGGCTACTTACGGGGGGGGGGGGAATTGTGGGGGCAGCCATTCGGAGGGGCCACTCAGAGCTAAGATGCATATGCAGAGCTGAAATTGGATCAGGTGGCTGGTAGGGTCAATGGATGGCAGCATCAATGGGTGTCTGCTGCTTCAGACCAACTCGGCTACTCACCTGAATTTTCCCCTGTGTGGCACTGTAACGGCTGCTGAGTAGTCATGCGCAAAGTTTGCCCTGGGGCCTTTCATCCTGCCAATTCACAAAAAGGGGAATAGGTCAATGATTCTGGAATCCCTCCAGTTATGGTTGATCTGGGGGCACAGACTTCATTGGGGCCTCCTTGCCATGCCAAGGCACAAGCCTCATGTGCACTGCCATGTTTTGCCAACAGTTTTGTGGTGTTTGTGCTGCTTGTTATGCCTGCAAATGCCAGATGCTTCGTCACAGACTCACAGAGCGGGAAGGGGTCCTGCAGGCCCTCTCTAGTCCCAACAACGCAGGACCAGCCTGCAGCAGGGGGCGGCCTGGCCACACTTGCTTAACATAAGAGCCCCGCAGGATAAACGTCAGATGTTTGAGAGCTGGGAGACGTGAAGGAATATGACTCGTTTTTACTGGGGAATGTGCAGATTTGCTTCTTATTAGCATTAAACGAGACTGCCGAAAATAATAACAAAAATGGTAAAAGCAGATATTGAAAATGGTATTTATTTGTTCAATAATATTTGTTTGCTGATGAAATTTAGCTTCCCCAGCCGCCCTGCCGGGAGCCACACAATAGGTGTGAAAGAGCCGCATGCGGCTCCTGAGTCACAGTTTGGCCACCCCTGGCCTAGAGCATCCCCGACAAGTGTTTGTCCAGCCGCTGCTAAAAGACTGCCAGTGAGAAGGGGGAGCTCACCACCTCCCCAGGCAGCCGATTCCACTGTTGCACAACGCTTACTGTAAATAAGTGTTTTTCCGAATATCCAGCTGGTACCTTCCTGCCCTTAATTTAAACCCATTATTGCGAGTCCTCTCCTCTGCTGCCAACAGGAACAGCTCCCCACCCTCCTCTAAGTGACAGCCCTTCAGATACTTTGAGAGAGCCATCGTGTCCCCCCCCCCGCAACATCCTCTTCTCCAGACTAAACCTTCCCCTCAGCCTTTCCTCATAGGGTTTCTTGGTCTCCAGGCCCCTGATCATCGTCGTCGCTCTCCTCTGCATGCGCTCTATTCCTTCCACGTCCTTTTTGAAGTGAGGCCTCCAGAAATGCACACAATACTTCAGGGGCAGCCTGACCAATGCTGTGTACAGCGGGACTATCTCACATCTTGCAAATTGGATGTTATGCCTCTGTTGATCCACCCCAAGATTGCATTAGGCTTTTTGTCACTGCATCACACTAGCTGCTCATATTTAACTTTTGGTGCACCCGTACTCCAAGATTTTGTTCACACACATTGCTACTCAGAAGTGTATCCTCCATCCAGTATGTGTGTTCCTCATTTTTGTTACTCAGAGGTAGAACTCGCCACTTATCCTTGTCAAATCACATCTTGTTCACATCCACCCACTGTTCCATTGTGTCCAGATCTTTTTTTTTAAAATAAGTTTTTTATTGATAAACATCAATAAACAGCACATTTATAGTAAACGTAACACAATACTACAACAAATGACCAACAAACAAACTAGGGGATCTGTTGACATACTATCTACCAGTTTTATACAACATGGCTGTCAAGTTGATAATGATATCTACATATATCAACAACAGTTGTTCGATATCCAAACAAACAAATAGATTTACAAAGCCCAGGTATCCCGTATAAAGGCATAATATTGTGAATGTATGGAGTTGTTTACATTTTCCAATACAAATTCTAGTTTTTTCAATATGGGGTGCCATCTCCCATAGAAGGTGTCTGATTTTTTGGAAGATTCTTTATATGCAATGGTGCTTGTAATTTTATCCATAATTAAATGGTTCCAAATATTGGAATATCAGGATCATATATCCGGTTTCTTTGGCTTATTCCAGTTGAAAGCAATAGAAGTCTTTGCTGCCGAAAGTAATAATATAAGCAACTCTTTAGTATAAGATGGAATAGATATCTCTGACCAGTTATTCAAAAGTATAACTGTCGGTGTCCATGGTATCTCTACACCAGTCAAATTAACAATTTCATGCCTTATTTTTTCCAAAAGGTAGAAATTACTGGGCAATCCCACCAGCAATGTAAGAAGGAACCAACTTTCCCACATTTTTTCCAGCAAAGGGGGGAAACATCTTTACACATTTTATGCAATTTCAAAGGGGTTAAGTACCACCGGGATATAATTTTAAAAATTTGTTGTTGGACATTTAATGATGTTGTTGTTGAAGCGTAGGAAGTCCAAACCGAGTCCCAAAACTCGTCTGATAAGTGCATGTGGAGGTCCTTAGCCCACGCGGTGGTATAAGTTGGCAGTTTAAACGGCTTTGGATCTATTAATATTTTGTAGATTTTTGAAATTAATCCTGTACTCCTTTTACGCGGAAGAACAACTAATCGTTCAAAATCTGAGAGAGGCTTTTCACAGGAGTTTTTAAGTTGCGGCAAAGAAAATAAGTGATGTATTTGCATATACTCCATCCAAGGTAAATTAGAATTTGCCTTTTTATCTAATTAATCTTTGCTCATTAACTGTTGGTTGCGAGTCAGGTCATAGAGATTGTTTAAATTGCATTTTTTCCAACTTGTAAAGGTATTAGGGTCTTTCGCTGGTTTAAACCAGTCTTGACCAAAATATGAAGAAGCCAAAGAGATATCAGGGGCTATTTGGTGTCGGTGTTTTTTCCATACCGCAAAAAAGGATTGGAGAAATGGGTGGTTACATGTAACGTTTGTGGTGTGTAGGGTTTTGTTCCATATGGCACTATCGTATTGGTTTCCACGAAGAAAGAATTCTTCTATTTAACCCATTCAGGCTGGGGTTGGAGCTTCAAAATTCGAATTAACGTGGATAAAATTGACGATTCATAATAAATTTTAATATTTGGAAGGGCTAAGCCCCCCAATCGAGTAGGTCTGCTTAAAGTGTTCATGTTAATTCTCGAACTATGGTAACTCCATATGAATTTAGTCCAATATGATTGCCATCTGGAAAGCGTGGAGGAAGGAATCGGTAGAGGTAACGTACGAAATAAATATAACAATTTGGGAAAAATAAAGGTCCTAAGAACTTGAATCCTTTCTAACCATGGTAGGTTTTGTTTGTGCCAAATTTCAAGTTGAGCTTTCATGTTTGAAACAGTGTCTTCATAGTTGATTTTGTACAATTTGGTTAAGTCTCTGGGTATTTTGCATTGTGTTCAGATCTTGTTGAATTCTATATCGTTTGGTGTGTTTGCTGCTCTTCCCAATTTGGTGTCGGAAGTGTAGTGGGTTAGACGCATGTAGAAACCACAGAGACAGATGCAGTGATCAGCATAGTTTACTAGTACACAACAAGAACACAGAATACTGGCCGGATGGCCAACTATATACACACCTGGGGACACCCCCTAGATCCCATTGGTGGGTTCAAATCTCCCGCCATGGTCCTATTGGTTCCCAAGTGAAAAGACTACTGTAGGAGCCTTGTCCCTATTGTTTGTACCGATTCAAGCTCAAGTGTATTCGCTGGCCCCTGGTGGTGGTCAGCGGACATAACAGTGTCATCTGCAAATTTCATGAGTAGTCCCTCCATATCATCATCCAGATCATTTATACGCATACTGAAAAGTACCAGGCCCAGAACTGAGCCCTGTGGCACACCTCTGGACACCTTCCTCCATTCAAACGAAACGACATTGACAGCTACTCTCTGGGTGTGGTTCTGTTGTGTACACAGAGAAAACCGCACACGTGGTCGGGTCCGCACGTGGCCATGCGAATGACCCAAAGCTTTGCTTCCAGAGACAATAGCCCGAACGGATCCTAGGGCGCACCTATCGGACGGCTAGGATCCGGGAATTGACCTATGGGACTTGGATGCACTGTAAATAAGCTATCACGGGTGTGGGTCGGTTTTTGGGTATGGTTTGCTGCGGGGATATAAGCTGGCCTCTGGCCCGGCTACTTCCTCTGAAGTTCTCCTGTATATAATAAAGTATGAGCTGAAATCACGCCTCTGTGCATCAGTCTCAGTACTTTATAGGTTCTTCAACCAGTTCCCTGTCCACCTAGCTATCCTAAAGTCTAGTCCACAGTTCTCTAGTTTACCCATCAGAACACCATGGGGAACCTTGTCAAAAGCTTTACTGAAATCCAGGTAAACAACATCAACAGCATTCCTTGAATCCAGTAAACTCACCACTTGATCAAAGAAGGAAATGAGGTTGGTCTGGCAGGAACTGTTGGGGACAAATCCATGCTGACTTCCCTGGATCACCAGGTTGTCCTTTAGATGCTCGCAGGTTGATCCCTTTAACATCTGCTCCAGTCTCTTCCCTGGGACAGAGGTCAGGCTGACTGGTTTGTAGTTTCCTGGGTCATCCCTTTTAAAAAAATTGGGATAACATCTGCCCTTCTCCAGTGCTGTGACCCATCTCCTGTCCTCCAAGAGGTCTGGAAGATGATAGACAAAGGCTCTGCAAGCTCTCTAATAAGTTCTTTGAGCAC